ACTACATTTTCATAGTTTTTAGTTTTATTACCTTGATAAGCTACATTATCATAGTTTTTAGTTTTATTACCATGATAAGCTACATTATCAGTTTCTAGTTTTATTACCTTGATAAACTACATTTTCATAGTTTTTAGTTTTATTACCTTGATAAGCTACATTATCATAGTTTTTAGTTTTATTACCTTGATAAGCTACATTATCATAGTTTTTAGTTTTATTACCTTGATAAGCTACATTATCATAGTTTTTAGTTTTATTACCTTGATAAGCTACATTATCATAGTTTTTAGTTTTATTACCTTGATAAGCTACATTATCATCGTTTCTAGTTTTATTACCTTGATAAGCTACATTATCATAGTTTTTAGTTTTATTACCTTGATAAGCTACATTATCATAGTTTTTAGTTTTATTACCATGATAAGCTACATTATCATAGTTTTTAGTTCTATTACCATGATAACTACATTATCATAGTTTTTAGTTTTATTACCATGATAAGCTACATTATGAGAAGGAAAAATAAAGTAATATCTTAAAGTCTTTTCTCAAACGAATATGATAATAAAAATTAAAGCAATATCCTAAAATTTTCTCTATTGCAGCTTTCCTCTCTAGTGGTATTAAAATAACATATATTCTCTGTAGCTATTATAAGACATGCAAAACCACGCGACATCAAAAATATAAATCAGAATGAAAAACTAATAATAGTATAAAATGTCATTTGGCCACCCAGCACTATTACTTCAAATTACGAAATGGTTCTTAGTCCTAGATAAAATATTCTTTATTAAATATAGTAGATGAAAACATTATTAGTTTGTTTGTATTATTACATATTTATTGAAACAATATGAATTTGCCTCTTTTTTTTTTTTAAAGGATCCGACGCTCCGCCCACTATATTGTTAATCTTCGTTATTTCGATCTATTCATCATGATTGTCATCTCACTCAGTAGTATCGCCCTAGCGGCAGAAGATCCAGTAGATGAGGACTCCAAGAAGAACCAAATTCTGAACTATTTTGACTATGTTTTTACTGGAGTTTTCACCATAGAAATGTTGTTAAAGGTTGTTACTTATCTAAAAATACTACAAAAATTGGATCTAGATTCTATATTATAAAAGAAATTCGCATAGGAATAGAGAATTCAGTTTAAAAAAAAATACGAAAAGTAGTGTCTGTAGTAATGATGAAACTCTGGTTAATGTAATTATTATAATGATAATTGTTCAATTTTTTATTAAATTTAATTACTTCATTGTTTTTGTTTACTAAAGTACTTTTTCACCAGACCTGGGGCAGCTCAGCGGTAAGCTTGAGTGCTCGTAATGCTAAAATTTGGGGTTTAAATCCTGCATCAGTTCAGCACAAATAGCCCTATTTGTAGCTTTGTTCCACTTAACTAATAAAAAAAACATACTTATTCTAATAAATAGTCGGAATCAATGCTTAATTCTTAAATGAAGGATAGTTATTTCAATTTGCCATATATTTTGCAGAAATCATCACAATTTATAGCACAAAAAGCCTCAAAAGAAAGATCAGAAAGTTTCATTTTATTTATGAAAAATCTACTGTTATGTAAATAGATCAAAACATTAAAAAGGCTTAGTATTATTCTGTTTTTAGATTATCTTAAAGAGATCTACTCTACTGGATAAGTAAATTTTATAATGTCTGTTTTTTCCAGGTAATAGATCAAGGTGTAGCTTTTCATCCGGGTTCTTACTGTCGAGATCTATGGAACATTCTGGATGCCATTGTTGTGATCTGTGCTCTCGTCGCTTTTGTTTATGCGTACGTATTATTTATGAAATTTTATGATTGTTTCTCTTACAGTGATACTTGTATTATTTATGAAATTTTATGATTGTTTCTCTTACAGTGATACTTGTATTATTTATGAAATTTTATGATTGTTTCTCTTACAGTGATACTTGTATTATTTATGAAATTTTATGAAGGTTTTTCTTACAGTGATACTTGTATTATTTATGAAATTTTATGATTGTTTTTCTTACAGTGATACTTGTATTATTTATGAAATTTTATGATTGTTTTTCTTACAGTGATACTTGTATTATTTATGAAATTTTATGATTGTTTTTCTTACAGTGATACTTGTATTATTTATGAAATTTTATGATTGTTTTTCTTACAGTGATACTTGTATTATTTATAAAATTTTATGATTGTTTTTCTTACAGTGATACTTGTATAAATCTTAAATTAGAAAAGATTAGACTACAATAAATACTTGTTTGCCAAATATAATAGTTAAAAACATACTTTCCTGAAACATACAATTTAAACTTATTTTATCACAATATTTTAAGACAATTTTTTTCCATTTTAAAATATAACTAGTTTTTGCTATCTAAATATTGTTAATATTTTTGAAAGTAATATTTAAAATTTATTTATTTCCACTTTCAAATGATTTATAGTTTTCTTTGGTTTTTACCAATTTTCATCACTAGAGGGAGCAGTACAGGACAAAATCTAAGCACCATCAAATCCATGAGGGTGCTTCGTGTTCTCAGGCCTCTAAAAACCATAAAACGGGTACCAAAACTAAAGGTAATAGCTTACTCTTTATAACTTGTTTTCGTTTTTATCAGTTTTCATCACACGACAAAGTTTAAGCCCCAATGATCCTATATATGAGAGAGAGAGAGATATCCTTTAATAGAATATGTATATAGATATGTGTATATACATATGTGAATTTCAGATAAAACTCTAAGACACAAGTTTGAAAGTAAACAGATCATATTATTATGGCCTGGCATGGCCAGGTGATTAGGCCGCTCAACTCGCAATCTGAGGGTCGCAGGTTCGAATCCCCATCCCACCAAACATGTTTACCCTTTAAGCCGTGGGAGCATTATAATGTGATGGTCAATCCCACTATTCGTTGGTAAAAGAGTAGCCCAAGAGTTGGCGGTGGGTGGTGATGACTAGATGCCTTCCCTCTAGTCTTACACTGCTAAATTAGGTACGGCTAGCGCAGATAGCCCTCGTGTAGGTTTGCGCGAAATTCAAAACAAACAAACATATTGTTACGTCTCCGTTCGTTAGTTAATTTTCCTTAACTTCGTTCCGACGAAACTTTAGCGACACAAGTCCTTTCTTAAATAAAACTCGTTTATTCTTTCCGAATACAACTTTACCGATAAACTTAATTTCAACAGTCGCTCTATAACAACGCTATAATTCTCAAAGAACGGCTCACGTGCTCGTGCTCGACAATACTCAGTTCAATTACACACTCTCTGACTGCAGTTCAATTACTCATTATCTCTACGTCGCTTCGTGGCCGGTCTTACATATACAAGACTACACTATATCTAGAAGGATCACGAGATTTAAGGAAAAGACGTGAAAGTTCGAGAATGACGTGGTGTGATACTAGTCACGTGACCTCGATGTCGTAACAATATAATTACAAAGACAACCTAAAAATGTATATGCTATCTTCAATCAGAGAAATAAAGTAAATAAATCTGATGAAGGTACTTTTCCCTGCAATAAACCAAATTTTTCTATTTCTGGGAAAGGTTATATTACATACACTAAATATATTACAGTCCCTACTTGTGAGAAAATATTACTTATAAACTCTAGACGTATTTGTAATTCATATAATGTTATTTATGTATTTGTTGTAAGTAAATATATGTTGGAGAAACAGAAAACTTATGTTTGACAATAAATTTACACAAATCTCATGTCAGAAGTGTAATTAATTGCCCGTTATCTGTTAAGAACACACATTAATAAGTGTATTAGGTAAAAATATCATAGTTTAGAAGAACCTTTTTTCTAGATATTTCCATTTTGGTATTCTTGTGAAAAAGAATAAAACATTATTTTACGAAAATTATTTTATTAATTAATTTGAAACCACATTAAATATTACATAATTTATACACACAGTTTAAATTTATATAAAGTTTTAAGGTAAAAAAAAACGTGGGAAGTTTTACATTATTAAGTAGATATTGTCAGAGAGACCTTATTGTAGAAACTGAAGAGTATTGTGGATGATACACAACTGGTATTTATCATTTTATGTATGTGTGGTTTTATTTATTTCTTTTAAATTAACAGCAATAAATAAAGAGTTTTTAAAATCATTTTTATTAATCACCTCCCTCAGCGAAATATATTTGTTTCCTCGTGTGTATATATTAATTGTGTGAGAGAGTGGGTGTTACATAGGAGATAGCCATGTATTAAAGGTATGTATAGAATATACACACAGATTGGATTATATATTCAAGGTACATTTAGTTACTCCGGTATACATTAGCCCTAGAATGGATACAGATTGAACATCATCTACTTATAGTGGTGTTTCTAACTTCCAGGCGGTGTTTGATTGTGTGGTGACGTCACTTAAAAACGTGTTCAACATCCTTATTGTGTACATTCTCTTCCAATTCATCTTTGCTGTGATAGCCGTACAGCTCTTCAATGGCAGATTTTTCTTCTGTAATGACGAATCAAAACTCACCAAATCTGAATGCGAGTAAGTGTCGTTCTAAGATAATTTTATATACTACAACTGATGGATTAAAATTTGAATTAAGATCAAAACATCTTAGTATAAGTTATTTTATGAAATATATTTACAGTTTGCCACAAAAAAACAAAAAAAAAACAGTGTAAAATTTTTCTATGATGAAATATAATTCATTGAATAATTTTGCAAGTCAATCACTTTGGAAATTCCTTTCAAGTCAAATTAATTTGACCAATATGAAAAAGAAACTATTTTAATCGGTAAAACGAAAATCTAATGAAATTGAATGTTCGAAACATCTCCAGTAACAACAAATTATATAATATAACCTTCACAGAACCTAATGAGTTACATTAGATATGCTATACGACAACCAACGTTTACCAGAAGTCTTGAAGAGGTTTTCAGTCGCCGTAGTAAATTCTATCCTTTACTTTTTTCACAATATATCTTAGTAATCAGCATTTCTAACAAGGAAGTTTGTGTTGAATTTAGAGGAGAATACTTCGTGTTTACACAAAGTGGAAAGCCACCTGAAGTTCAGAAACGAGTCTGGGAGAAACGGCCGTTTCATTACGATGATGTAATGTCCGCCATGTTAACTCTTTTCACAGTTTCCACTGGAGAAGGCTGGCCTGCGTAAGTTATGAAATGTACTTCAATATTTTGTAATAAATGAATTAGTTTGGTTGTTTATAGGTGGCTACATAAATTAAACTATCTTTCTACATTGGCTACCTAATAAATATTTAGTCTGCAGTTTTATATACCTATAATTAAGCAAACAATTATTTAATTAAGTGATCAAAAATGTAATAATGTTTAATGTTATCAAATGTTTCCAAGTTATGAGTATTAATCTTCTTTTTTTTTAATGGACTGATAAAGTTCTACAGGTATGAAGTTAACAAATTAAGAATTTTAAATTTTTGCATTTGCCAAATTTTTAGCCCCCCAGTGGCACAGCGATATGTCTGTGGACTTACAATGCTAGAATCCGGGTTTCGATACCCGTGGTGGGCAGAGCACATATAGCCCATTGTGTAGCTTTGTGCTTAATTACAAAGAAGCAAACCAAATCTTTAAAAATATTTTTAAGTAACTCTTTTCATTTTAAGAAATATATCGTACATACATTTTTCGATTGAAACGATCATACATACACAGGAAGAACATTCAATTAACGATACTTTAATACTACTTTAAAAACATGTTTATTTTAGTTTTAACCCTCTAACTTGGAAAATCTTTAAAATTGTGCTTATTTGTTAGAAGACAGTATTACAAAAATAACCTAACATATATTTACTACAATGTGCTGAGATTCAAACTACAATACCCGAATATTCTAGGAGAAATCCTTAATTCATGTCTTCCTCTCCAGGGTTCTACAAAACTCCATGGATGCCACATACGAAGACTATGGTCCCCTACCAAGGTTTCGGATTGAAATGGCGATTTTTTATGTAGTTTTCTTCATTGTATTCCCATTCTTTTTTGTAAATATCTTCGTGGCCTTGATCATCATTACTTTTCAGGAACAGGGGGAAAAGGAATTGGAAGAGGGAGACCTTGACAAAAATCAAGTGAGTGGCCAATATAAACACAAATTACCTTTGGCTTATCTATTAAGTTGTTTTCATCGGGTTTTAAAAAAATATTTATATTTGGTTAATAAAGCACTGAGATAAGGATGTTTTCATTTTTAATATCATCATGAAATAAATTTGTTTATGATATTTTTTGGAATAAAAAGATCAAACTCCATCTGTATAATATCTTAATAATACAGATATATATCAATGAAATAATGATAATAATGCCTAATTGATATGAATTAAATTAATATTGTCTTTTAGAAATCATGTATTGACTTTGCCCTGCAAGCTAAACCACTTCAACGGTACATGCCAAAAAATAAAGATGGTGTGAAATACAAAATTTGGAGAGTTGTTATTTCTACTGGTTTCGAATATTTTATTATGGTTCTAATTGTTCTCAATACTTTATTGTTGATGATGAAGGTAAGTTCTATATTTGTTGCAATTATTATATCATATTAAATAAAGTAACTACTTTCAAATTTCGTAAATAAAGTTGCATAATTTTTAAGAGCTTTACAATTTACAAAAAATATTTTAAAAACGTATTACCAAAAATTATTTGTCAGGAAAATCCGGAATTATGTGTATTTAGTTTGCATCAATATTTGGAGAGATAAAAGTTTCTAAATAAAAAATTTATTTTAATGCAAATTCAAATTTTAATTTTATTTCACAACCGAATATATTTAACTCCAATGAAACTTGGTCATTATATTCAAAAAAATTAGTTTTCCAGATTCTAGTTTCATTTGTTTGTTTGTTCTTTGTTGCAACTGAATATTATGCCAGTTTGAAAATTAACTGATTGTTTTTAGTTTATTATGCAATACATGTCAGCAGTTTCCAGAAGGAAAATTTGACTAATTGTTTGCTTTTTAGTAAATCTAGAAAAGATTATTGCAGTAAATGTGATTTCGTTAACTAAAACTAGAGTGTTTAGGAAATACTTTGTTGTATTTATATATTATTTATTTATTACTTCAAATAACAATTTTTTAGAAGTTTTTTTTTTTTCATCTAAATTCATAACATGTATAACTATCAAGTTCCTCAGTATACAGACATTTCATTTGTTTTTCATACCATAACATGCACAAATAACAATTTACAGTAACGATATATTTAATCGAAGAGTTTTAGGGCTAATGACTAAAGGCGGTTACGAGGAAGTTATTGTTATTATAAATCAATATTATACTAATATCCTTGTGTGGAGCATTATGTAAAGAAATATTTGAGTGGAACCGTTAATTAATATATTTATTTTTTTTTGCATGCCCACTTGACTTAGTGCAATGAAGTAATATAGTTTTAGTTGGATGCTCAATGGTAGTAAGAAGTTAGAGACAGGTTACCATGGTGATGAGAATAATGTGATGCCTTGACAACAATGTACTATATCTGTAACAGTTTTTCGTAATACAAATAAGATTTTTTTCTTTAACGGTGGCTGTTTGTTGATAGTTATAATACAGGAGTAACTGCTTGAAAAGCGTTTTGTGTATTGTAGTTTTATTAATGCAATTGGAAATTGATGAAAAAATGTTTTTATCCTTTAAACGAGTTAGAGTCTAAGAGAGCATGTATTTAAACAAGTAGGTAAAGCGAGCATGGCATATGAATGTGAAACGTTTTGATTCTTGTGTTCACACACGTTTAAATTCTATCTGACTTTCAAGAATTATCAGTTGTCTGTGCTAGCTCATTATGTGCCCAAATTGCCCAGTTATAGATAACTATTATCTTTAATGGTTTGGCATGGACCAAATACAGATTAACGTTATCTTTGGGGTGTTGGGCATTGACCAATTACAGATTAACGTTATCTTTGGGGTGTTGGGCATTGACCAATTACAGATTAACGTTATCTTTGGGGTGTTGGGCGTTGACCAATTACAGATTAACGTTATCTGTGAGGGTTCAGCATTAACCAATGACAGATAACCATTATCTGTGAGGTTTCAGCATTAACCAATGACAGATAACCATTATCTGGGAGGGTTCAGCATTAACCAATGACAGATAACCATTATATGTGAGGTTTCAGCATTAACCAATGACAGATGACCATTATCTGTGAGGGCTCAGCATTAACCAATGACAGATAACCATTATATGTGAGGTTTCAGCATTAACCAATGACAGATAACCAGTATATGTGTGAGGTTTCAGCATTAACCAATGACAGATAACCATTATCTGTAAGGGCTCAGCATTAACCAATGACAGATAACCAGTATATGTGTGAGGTTTCAGCATTAACCAATGACAGATAACCATTATATGTGAGAGTTTGGGATGAAAGAAGTTCAAGGAGAGGCTTTTTGTTTAAAAATAAGCAGTGGAAACTTTCAATTAATTACATTACCATTTCGATATTTATTTTAATTTTCTCGCTTCAATGGCGTTCCAATAATGAAATAATCTTAACTTATCGGCTTGACTTTTGAGTTTGTTTTTAACGTAAGCCAAGCTTTTCCTCCCAAACTCTCACTCTCGCCTCCAACAAACACAGAACTAAAGAATCTACTAATAATATATCGCGATCTGTTAGGCAAGTGTATCACAACTACGGTGGTTTTAAAGCATTTTCAGAGCATTGGTCACTATAGTTAACTGACCAGTGAAACGTATAAAGAAAGTATGTGTTTTATGTGCGACAGATTTCAAGTAACGATATTTTTACAAGCGTTTCAGGATGACCTAGAAACGCCACAAATGAGAACAACATACTAAACTTGATGAGTAGTTTCTTATGGACTTCTACCTTTTTGTATAGTATTGGAGACGCCGTTTCGGACTATCTGCTGAATTCTTCATCAGGTCGTCTCCAAAAATTAGATAAAAAAAAAAAAACAGGAGCAGGCTATATGAAAACCATAGGTGGGATTACGGGGAGGGAGGGGAGCAGTTCCACCAATTGTTTTTTGTGGTACATAGTATACCACGACATTCAGAATAATTAAGTCAGGCTTTTTTACCTCCCCCATCCCTATCCCTCCACATTTTGGTCCCAAATTCCGCCCAAGATAAAAGCTATTGACTTGTCAACGAACTAATTTTAAAAGGACATACTACAGTATTTTTACCTGTAAAATTTGGTCACTGAGGGCTTGTAATGCTAACAATCGGGTTTCGATACTTGCAGTGTGCACACCACAGATGACCAATTGTGTAACTGCTTAACAAGAAACAAACGAATCTTTTAAAAGTTATGTGTTCGTGTCTCCATCTACCAAAAAAAAAGAAACTAATTCACAACACGGCTATGCCATTTTGTAATAACATATAGCTCAAGTATTATGTATTCTGTATTACTTGGTGTTAACTAATCAATTTGAAAACGTCGTATTAAATGCATGCGTTATGGCTTTGTAGGATAAAACAAAAAATGTAGTATATTTCATTCTTTTAGTATTCGTGGTTACTTTTACCATTTTGAGTTGAAATTTCATCTTAGATTTAAACTATCTAACTTGTGAACTGTTGTTTATTCTTATACCAAAGTTTTCTTGTTATCGATGTGTTTGACTTGTCTTGCCATTTTGTCTTTGTGTCTCGTCCTGTTTCTAGTTTTACAAGCAGAGTAAGGTAATGGTGCTTACTCTGCACTACACGAATGCTGTCTTCACTGCTTTCTTTACTGTTGAATGTGTGTTGAAGCTGTCTGCATTTGGAATCAGGGTAAGAAAGGAATGTGACTAGGGACATTTTTTATTTCCTCGCTAGATGTCACCACTACTGCAAGTTAAATATCTGTGAGTGTTTAAATATAAAATACTCTCATGAAAACAGGGAAAAATACGTAAATATAATACCCGCGTATATTAATATTAAAAACCTTAGTTCGTGTCTTGAATCACTTTTTTTACTGCTTTTAATAACAAAAATATACAAGTTGAAGTAAAGTATGGTTTTGTAAATTACATTTTTTCTTTCAGTTATCATATACATTTTGTGTTTTTTTTAGTAAAGATTTTTTTTCAGTTTTTTGTATGGCAATCATTTTTAGGTTTTACTGTTTGTTAGTAGTTTTATATTATATAGATAGGCATTAATTTGCTAAAGAACTTAATTTTTACTTGATTTTATATAATTATAACGGATTACATGCACTATTTAACGAGACTGATTTTTTTTTTCAATAGTAAAGCAAAAGAAACAAAACACTAATAATTCAAATAATTAAACAATCTTGGTAAAATCAACAACGTCAAACACGTCTTTTCTGGTTCAACTAAGTTTAAACTTATTTTGTTTCCTTAAAACTATTGCAATTTAGATCTTTTCGTAAAAATAAAAAAAAAGGTAGAGAAGCTAACGCTTTATTGAAAAAAATCATTGTTTTAATGTGTAACAGACATAAACTTTCACCACTCAGAGGTTGTTGCTGCATGTGATGTGCCTACTAAACCGTGAATGGGTGAATTTAAAAAGTCGCCATATTCCTTATTGTCGTGTTTCTTTACCGTTCACGATCTTATATTGTAGGTCACGTGACACTCACACGCGGCTTTCTTGATAAATGCAATAATGTTTGGTTCATCGTTTTTTAATTAAAGCACTTTTTTATACACTCATTTAAATAATGTGAAATTCCCAGTTTGCCCCTGGTGAATCAAGATCCACCTATCGATAGCACTCGGGTTTTGTATTAAACTGCTTTATCAAGCCTACGTTATTTCCTAACTTCATGACTTAAATAATAAACATTGTCAAAGTACTCATTTTTATTTCTGAATTAGATTTCCTCTTTTGTTGTGCAGACTCAAAATATTTCGTTTATCACCAAACTGTGAGATAGGAATTATAAGCTAAGTTTTCTTCGTACAGAAAAGCGTTGTCACAATAGGTTTTCGCAAGTTTTTGTTTTTTATTTTTGTAAAAGGCCGAATTATATACAACCTCCATATTTTTTTATAAGTTGTGTGAAATGATTTGTGGTTCGTCACATCTAGTGATTTTTTTTTACCCAAAACACGTCACGTATTTTACAAACAACTATAAGGTTTTGTCTGTCGTCTTACTCGTATATTGTGTAATTTTATTTTATTACTAGTTTCCGTACTTGCATGTACATAGCATGTTATCGCTCGTTTCATACAGGTCTACTCAAACGTAAAGAAGAGCATGGTTTCGTAATTAATTATCTATGTTTTGTTAGGCCTAACTAAGACCTTTATTAAATGCATGTTAGGCCTAACTAATGTCTTTACTAACAAGATGCATGGTACGTTTGCGTATGAAAGAGAAACATAATCTTTACAAAATATCAGAAAAAAAAATACTGTAGCCTATTTTAAATTATAATTAAAATGAAGAAAAATTTCTGTTTTCTTAACCCTAATCTCACTCGCCTGAAAGTTCCACAGCAGTCATGAAAGTTGAACGTGTTGCACTTTGGTTAAACACAAGGGCTTAATCGAATCACCAACATCGAAATAACACCCGTGGCTGCTTAAATTTTATGGTTTTCATTTATCACCTAAAACAACCAATCCTGAGGGTATTTTTGTGAAATTTTGTTATAGTTTTGATTTTGCTATCATTTTCTTTTCTTCTTTTTTGTTCTTCTTTCTTCTCACCACTACCGTTTTAGTACTACAAGGCAAGCGATTTATACAGTGACATTTTAATCAACATAAACGAAGCTCTCACAACCCTCTTTCTACTCGAATGTATCCTCAAACTTGTGGCTTTCGGATGCAAGGTTTGATATTTCTGTATCCATATTTTAGTGCTTATTAGTCTATATATATATATATAATACGTATAGTTGTGGATTTAAAGATACATATTTATAATATTTATAATTAGTTAATATCGTCTTCGTTGAGATTCTGCCTCCAAATTAGTACGTGTTACACTAATATTTAATAATATTATAAAAATATTTGAAATATATTATTTTAAAATATCTGATATTTTATCAGAATCTTTCTCTGTCTCTCTTTTTATTGCATGTGTTATTATAAAATATTGTATTTTATACAAAAATAGAATAGTTTTCAACTTGTAATTATAGGAATCTTTCTTAGGACTAATATTGTGTTCGTGGTGTATTATAAGAAGAGACTTTTTACTTTATCCTTTAGATTAAAACAATGTGTGTGTGTGTTATAAATCAAGTACAATTTTCGGGACCAGTGTGATGTGATACTTGAAAATACTTGTTAATAACGATTACAGTGAGACGAAAACAATGACAGCTATAATCAGATTACTGCCAAGCTTATTATGTTTTTAAAAAACTGTCTAAATCTTTTTGTTAACACTTTTTTTTTAGATTAACAGGTAATTATTTGTTTATTCCTTTTCACACTCTGACACGGTAGCCCCCCTAGTGGCACAGCGGTATGTTTGCGGACTTGCAAAGCTAGAAACTGGGTTTCGATACCCGTGGTAGGCGGAGCACGGATAGCCCATTGTGTAGCTTTTTTGATTAACTTCAAACAAACAAACTGACACAGTAATAATGCTTTATAAATAATACTTTTACCTTGTCTTTGAAAAAAATAAAATAAACAAATGACTCAGTATTTTTCAGCAAATATAGGTCTATTTAATATTATCTAGTAAGCTTATGGGTTTATAAGGCTAAAGTTTGTGGTTTGATCTCCACGGTAGATAGAGAACACAAAGTCCATTGTGCAGCTTTCGTTAAAACTCAAATAAACTAAATTTAACGTTTTTAACGAATGTAATTTAAACCATAAAAAAATAATTATCAAACTTATATTCGTAGGAATAATTGATCCAATTTATATTATTAGTAAATATTGGGCTTTTAAAGTACACTATATAAAATAATGTTGCCCATAGTTCCTCAGAATTTCGTAATCCAGAAGAAGAAGAAGAAAAAATTGTTAAGCCTCACAGAAATCTAGAGATTAATTCTTTCATTGTTTGTGGTTTTCAGTCTTCAACTGAACGGAGATAGAACGTTTCTGTTCTCATTTTGTATATGTAATTAACAATTATTTTCATTAATTAGAAATATATTAAAACGCATATTTTGCATTAGTGCACTATTGGCTCTACCCTAATCGCTTGCGCCCCCTGAGAAACGCTAATGTATATAAAAGAAAAATTAAATCCTTTTGTAAAATTTTTATTAGACAGCATTCGGGGAACATGCACTAAGTTACAATCGATTTCAATTCCAAAAGCTATAAACAACACGTGTAAGTAGAAAAATAGACAAATGAACAAAAGGAAAAGGTGCGTAAAAAACAAGCACGTGATGTTTCTGAAAAACTTTTTAGAGTTACTCTTGAGCCAGCTAGTATTGTTTATACTAAGATTATCCATTGTTGGAAACGTTTCACACAGAAATGAACAATAGACTTACATTCTTACAAGACAAGAAATTATACACGAACAGCTAGTTATTTATCATCGTCTCGCCGGCTAGCACTATTCCATTCCTCTCGGTCGTTTTCTGTCTGTCTCTCCATAGCCTTCCCATGCCTCCTGTCGTTCTCCTGTTTGTCTTTTACCTTTCCTTTCAACCATTGTTTGACGTCCGCCTCAGTTCTGGTTTAGTTTTCTCCGTTGGATTATTTCTGATCCTATCATCCACCCAGCTCTACCTGCGTTGTTTTATCCATTCCCACTCGTTCAGTTATTCCAAATAAAGCCTGGATGACCAGTGTTCTCTACAGATTGTCCGAAGGCACGAGGTATGGAAACTTATCAGCCTCTCTCTGTATATATATATATATCTTTCTGTATCGTCCGCCAACATTCCGAGCCACAAAGGATGACAGATTTTATGATCTTAACCTTTGATCGACAGTTTTCACGTGCATGGTATAAGGAGGCATACCTTTACGTAAGTATGTGTTACGTGATTAGAAAGTTTCTCGCACCCTTGTAATTCATGATATTGTGTCACGTGAAAAAACGCGTTAAATGACAGAAACTCGAGATATATACAATACATAAAGGGCCAGTACTGCAAGTCTTAACTCAAGACACTGGATTACATTAAATGTAACTCAAAATTGAGAAAAAATAATAATATTATTTTCGAAATCTGCGTAGCTGAATCATTGTTTGTTTTTTGTTTTTTGGAATTTCGCGCAAAGCTACACGAGAGCTGAATCATGGAAAATCTGTTATTAAAACCAAAACAACTTTTATGAAGTTTAAATTCGTAGGCCTGTGTTATTTGTTTTCATTAAGCCTAATACAGTATAATACTTTCATGGAGTTAATTTTGAAATACGAAACGGAATTGGGTTTTAGCCTAACACGTAAGGATTTTGTACAAATCGGGAAGAAGAAAAAACTCTTACGTAGATCAAATTATTATTTCGTTTACCACAATGAACATTTTTTTATTATTATGTTTGTTACTCGTGAGTTTTAGAACGAGCGATAAGACTCTCACGTCGCGATTGGTCTAGAGAAATCTATAGCCAGTGGTTGTCAACATTTTAAGTATAACAAAATGTGACCCGATTTCAATGAAAATGATTCACTTATGTAAAACTACGTATGACGTTTCGTGAAAAATCTGTACGTGATGGAGAAAAATGGATAATCTTTTCGGATTCAGCGTACAGGAATTACTGTAGAACATGTAAAACTTTTCAAGACAATAAAACCATCGCAGGCCTGTGTAATTAAAAACATGGCAGTAATTAGTAGGCCTGTGTAATTAAAAACATGGCAGTAATTAGTAGGCCTGTGTAATTAAAAACATGGCAGTAATCAGCAGGCCTGTGTAATTAAAAACAATACAGCAATCAGCAGGCCTGTGTAATTAAAAACATGGCAGTAATCAGCAGGCCTGTGTAATTAAAAACATGACATTAATCAGCAGGCCTGTGTAATTAAAAACAATACAGCAATCAGCAGGCCTGTGTAATTAAAAACAATACAGCAATCAGCAGGCCTGTGTA